TAGTGTTAATGATTTGTGGGGTGGTGGAGTATTAATAACTGTTAAAGCGGTATTTTTGTTAGAAAGTTTAAATTGTTTTATGAATGGAGTTGAATGGTTGTGGTTTAAAGTTGTGTATGATGGAGAAAAGTAATTTATATGTAATGTGTATACACCTCCTGGTTTTTTGATGATACAGAAAAACCTATTGATATACTTAATAGAAATACTAGTATAAATAGTTGGTGATTTTAATATACCTGTTTAATTATCTGGAAACCATACAAATCTAAAAAGTGTCAACTTATTGAAAGTGTAGAGTTTAAATTCTTGAATATTACCAAGCATTATGGCACGTATCCTTTTTTGGTATTGTAACGTGATTTATAAATTCGGGTTCGATTTATATCAATATTTATTAAACAAAACTAAAACACTATAAAATCCGTACAATTTATATCGATTATTTATATCACACACTTCGAAATTTATATTTCCGTGCTCGATCTCGTTCGATAGTAGACTAACTCCCGCGATGTTCGGTCCGCAACCATTTATACACGCAAGCAATGTAAGTCCCGAACATTCTAGAATACGCGTAGAAAATTCCAGAACGCCAAAGGCGACGTCATGTCTGGAGCATTTCCGTTACACTGCCCCCTTCTTAATTCTGGACGTCTCGTTCAGAAACTGCGTTAGTATTACTTTTTAATGCCTCGTGTCGGAATCTGCAGTCAGAGCCTGCTCGACAAACACCTTTCTTGAAAAAGTAACAGTCCACAGTTTTGCGGAGGGTCGTCCCCTGTGGGTTGAAGCAGCAAACTGTAATTCGAACGCTAGTGTTTCTAAAAATCACTTCGATCATGGTTCGCACTATCTTCCAGTCCAACCCATCTAAACCACATCCAATCTTCGGGATCGACAAGCTATTTATGTCATAGTATGCCATGAGTTTCTTTAAGCTTTTTAAAGCAGACCAGAGGTTTTCATAGGTGGGTTTGCCTTCTGACGTTTTCTTTGAAACCAAATAGAACAAAGAGCGTTGACTATCTTCCAAGCGCAGTACTTTACCCACTCGT